ATTCCAATCATTAAGCAAACCGCTAGATGAATATAGCGATTTTATAATCTCGAATAGAGAATCAAATAAGAATAATGATACTAGAAGAAAAGACACGGTCAAAGATCAGTGCGCAGTAAGAATTGTTTTTAATTACCAAACTTATATCTCGTAAAGAGCCAATAATCCAAGTGATACCTAACCCAAACACACAATATTTGCTAAGCGATACTTTGCTAGTTGTCATATATTCCGCTCATATGCTATTAATAACCAGTACTATGATGATTTGACAAACCGCCTACAAACTAATTACATGTTCTGCACATTTTAAAGTATTGTGATCTAAGATTCAAATCTGCAGGAAGAATTTTCTACAGTGTTGTACCCAGACTAGTGACTAACTGAAAGCAACGTAAAACGCAATATAAAAGGTTATCGTCGTGGTGATGACCTAAATTTTCAAAAAGCAACTATGTATTTCAACCATAAATATAAAATGTTAGTGATAGCGCTTAATCTTACAGTCGTATTTATACCTAAATCAATTAGTCCGTTGATTGTCTGCAACCGGTCGAATTTCTGGCGATAATCCTGAGTAAAATAATATAACTGAGACACCACTTTCCGTGGAAATCTCAAATAGAAAAATATATGAAAGTAAAAGAGAAATAAATAATGTTGATCGTCAAGTATCTCCCTGAAAATGTTGGAATTTTCAAATACTGTTTACATATTTGCAACGTCCCTGGAAAAAGGAAGAGAATATAAAGGAAAAAAGTAAAACGTAGCAATGGTGACAATGCTGTGAGTATGGCGTACGCTTGTAATAATGGTAAGTAAGCGTTCTCCAAAATTACGGCACAATACATTAAAGATAAAGGAGAAAAATAATGTTAAATATCTCATGTAAATTAAGGTAACTTCAGAAAATCGGACTATTTATTGAAATATAGCAATGTTTATATTTCAGTAGTTACTTCCCCTTCATTTTACCAATTAGAAAACTTTTGTCACAATACTTAGCTTACAAACATGACAAAGGATCACTTGACGCACACAGATTTTCCTCATTGACACTTTAATCAGATTGATGATTTCTGTCATTTTACAAACTCCATTCTTTATCTAGCTTCTCCATCGTAATTACAGATTTCTAAAACTAGTCGTAACCATATACAGAGTTTTGTACTAGCTATATATGCAAAAGTAGAAATGAAGCTAAGTGAATTTCATACTAGTCGTATACGTTAGAGTAGAAATGAAACCAAATAACAAACACCTTTTCACTTCCCACATCAATATAAGTTGAACAAGTCAGCATTGTGGTAGAGAAAAAGATTTTCGGAGAAACGAGAAATACGTTTAAAAAATGTGAATGTTTATTATCACGGAGGAACTATACATCTCGCCACAAATCTCTTGAACAAATACGATGCAAAGCAATAAAATCTACCAATGATAAGAAAAATTCCGTTTTCACATACCCAAACGCTACGTCAAATAATACGTGTCTTATTTTATTTCGTGGAAAAGTCATCACTCTAAAGATTAACAGCTTGAGAAACAGAACAAAAACAAAAATCCAATAAACCACCTGACACCATCCACTTCTGATTCGTAATCCAGAGTGGTTCCAACAAGCATGTGTCACTATGAAAAAATGAAGAACCAAGACGGAAAATGCATTCAAATTCGAACTCCTGGCAATTTACATGTTCTGGATTTTAATTCAAATTAGACCCCAATACGAGTTGTAAGTTTAAATTGAATTGAAATTTGAATTTAAACCGAAGGCTGAAAAGAGTTAACTTACACAGTTGTTTAAAATTTGTTCAGAATTAATTTAAAATACAACGTGTATTTGAAATTTACTTTGAAATTTATTCAGAATATAGCGGTAATTCAATTATTTTTTGGCAGGCAAAAATTGATGGGGCAAAAATGACTACTTTTTTGATTGTTAAAACAAAAATTAAGCCAATTTGTCACAGTCAAAAGTAGAAGAATAATTTGGTAAAGAGCAAATATTAAAATTTTAACATTTTATTTGTTTATTTAAGCATTTAAATATACATAGACTGTAATACATTATGGTTCACATACTCATATGTACATACAAACACTCTTGTACAACAATTGAGGAACTGGATTTGAGAAACATCGGAAAAACCAGCTTAGGAAATAATCGATCTATCTCTATCCATATTTCCGGTCTGATTGCTAAGTAAGATGGATGGGAAGGAAGCAAAACATGAAATGATATCGTCATGAAGAGTCAATTCAATACAGATATCAAATTTAATAGATATAGATATCAATCAATTGATTTAATCAATTGATCAGTTGATTTGAAAAATACATATCAATAGCTGATAAAATACGTTTATTTTATCGATTGCCCACAATTGATTGACTATATTTATTACTTCAAATCGATTAATTACAATTTATTATTTTAAACCAGCTATTGATATGTACTTTTCAAACCAATTAATTAAATTTGATATCTATTTCAGATCAAATAATCCAAGCAAATCAATAATCCATTCATGGATATTTATGGATATCTTTTGCCATCCCTTTATGCTCTGTTACTTCTATTCTTCATTATGTTATACATCTATCGGCGCAAAAGGTAACAATAACACGTTAATTAAACTTAGTTAAGGCATTAAATCTTTATTTATCTTAATACTGGTCATTAATATAACTATATATAAATTTATGTAATAAATATAACATAATAATATCATCACATAAATAACAGTGTACGATGATGTAGAAGTAAATGAACCATCATTTTATAAGGTCCGTTACAGTGAGTTATGAGGTCTGCAATCAACCTTACTTAGTTAGAATGAAGTAGACCAAAAATTATTTTATTAAGATCCGTGATAATGAATAGACAGTCTAGAATCTAACTTACTTCGTCGCCGTCGTCGTCGTCGTGGCTAGAATTCGCGAATAAAAATATGCGAAATACCAATACTTATTGCAGGCACGTTGATGGCTAAGAAGATCAGTGCAGGATAAACATGTTCGGATGCAAAAGGCACAGTGAAAGGTCAGGTTAGACGGTATTGATGAGGTACGGTTTTTTCTGCGTTGTTTATCATCGAGGGTAATTTTGTGCGTATTCTCGATGGAAGCAGCAGCGTTATGAATAATGTGTTTCTATGCTTCTTAATTCGTAGCCAGAGTGAACCGTTGATGGAAATCATCAAGTTAACATCAAAAATGATGTGAACCAATGCTGAGGTATCATTTCAGGACGTCCTTGTATCTCCTCGTTGAGGTTCTTTCATTGCGGAAGTGATCTTCCGTCCTGGAAACGTATCGAGCCTAGCGCAACTGTGTCTTCAGTAGTACGACCTTAATACTGGTAACTCTTTCTGTGTAAGAAACAGTAACACTGGATACGTAGTCAAACCAGTGGATGTTTAGGATTGTACGGAAGCAGCGCTAGTGAGAGCGTTCAAGGAGTTGCAGATGGTGGCGATAGATGACCCACGTTCTAGAATAGACAGTACAATAGCCTTATAGATACTAATCTTGGTACTTCTCTTCAGATGTTTATTGTAGCAGACTCTTTTATGGAATTTTCCGAAAGCTTTGTATGCCTTTGCTAACCTGTTCTCAATCTCTTTATCGATTTTGACGTTGGAAGAAATGATGCTGCTCAAATAGCTGAACTCGTGGATTGATTGACCTTTGATTTGCCTGTGATAATGACATAGTCCTGTGGTATAGGCTAGCAGAGGACTTCTGTCTTCTTCAAGTTTACTTCTAGCCCAAACAGCTCTGCGGCCTTTGCAAAATAAGATGTTGAGTGCTGCAGAGTTATTTCTATGTGGGTGACGTGAGTGGCATCGTCAGCAAAAAGCACCTCTCGAACGCTAATTTAGCGTCCTGATGTAGGCTTTCAGTCGCCTTAGGTTGAATAGGCTTCCGTCATTACGGATTAAATCCCATTTTCTTCATCTAGATCTCCCATGGACTTTTGGAGCATCATGTTGAAGTAGATTGTGAAGAGAGTTGATGCAAGAGCGCAATCTTGTTTTATCCCATTGATTATTGCGAAAAGTTCTGAAAGTGCATCATCATACCTGATTTGCCGATTCTCATGTAATAGCACGATGATTTTCAGGAACTTGGGAGGACATCTTAATCGTTCCAAGATCTGCCATAGGATATTTCTGCTGACAGTATCAAAGACTACGGTGAAGTTTACTAAGGTTCTATAAAGACCTTTATTCTGTTACCTGCATTTCTCTTGCAATTGTTGGAGAACAAATATCACATCTGAGGTACTCGTACTTGTTCTGAAGCCACATTGACTTTCAGGCAGAACATTTTCTGATATAGCGGGTACCAATATATTCAGAAATATTCTTCCAAGGATTTTGCCAGTAATACAGAGTAGGGTTATACTCGGTAACTTTACTCTGATTTTACTTCTTTCTTCTTGGGCGATAATGATCGCCTTACACTCGAAGATCTGGTGGTAGTTCGCTTTTCCCCAACATCACATAACAAATTCGTGAAACTTGGCATGGTGTGGTTGATTTCCGCTTTTCCAGATCTCAGACTGGATGCCATTAATCCCAGCTGTCTTTCTTTACGGCCTTGAGCGTCTCCGTCATAGTGAGGGTTGTATCCAATTCGTTTTTCATCGGTTGTTATGTAATGTGCTGAATTACTGAGCCTTGGACTGCACGGTTGATATTGAAGAGAGTTTGGGAATGTTAGGCTACCGATTCAGAACAAAAGTTTGGTCAGTGAGAAGCGTTTGACCATCTGTGCTGAGTAGGGAACTTTGACCGTGGTGTCCGGGTCCATACACAGCTTTCAGAGCTTCTAGTCACCTGAATCTGCGCACAGTTGAATATTTCCTACTAGTTTATCCACCATTTGTTTTGGATGTCTCGAAGCTTCTATTGCAGCTTGGTGCATGCAAGGCAAAAGGTGGCTTTTCTTACCTGTCGGAGAAGGATTCCAAAGGTTCTGTCGCTTGTGTTGTTGAACTGTTGTACTGCCGCTTCTCTGCCGTTGAACTGTTGTCGAATTGAGTGTCTGATTGTATACCGTCTCAAATGCTTGATTGAGCGAGTTGTCGGATTGCGAAACTCCCGAGTGATTGTGGGAGCTGTCCGATCCGATTAAATGATTGTTCGAGTTTTTTTGGATCTGGTAGCTGATAGCCATGATGACTGATTTTATATTAATTTAACATTCCATCCAGACTAGAGGTTCTTTATAAAATTTCGACATTTATATATAACTTCTTTACAACATTCTTACATGAATAATAGATTGCTAAAAGTTTACAACAAAACAGTTTGTCTGCAACATCTAAGCAATGCAATTAAAATTGGGAGAATTGGACTTTGATGAATGACTCATTAGCTTAGATATCGAAATATTTATTTTATTAATTTTGTGTAACAAGTATTTACCTGAAAAATATTCTGAATTCCAATTAAAATAACTTATAAGATTTTTTCAGTTTCACAACGTTACATGACAAGATGGGTGGGCGAGGTGTGCTTGATGAACACAATTATTCTTTGTCAACAAATCCTGATCTCTTCGTTGTTTTCATCAAACTGGTCTCTGTTTCTCTTTTGGGAGAATCTCAAGGATTCCACAGAAGACTGCATGATTCTGGTCTTAATATATTGCTTAAATGCTTCAGGAAAGGGATC